AACAGAAACAGGTCTTTACTTTACATTTCTCTTTGTTTTTAAGTATTGAATTTTCAAGAAACTTGTACCAGAGTGGGGTTATACCATTGTAGCAACAGTTTTTAAGAGCCTTTATTTGCTGCCATATTAACAAGTTTTTACCTTTTATATCTAATATCTGATTGATATAATATAGCTCCAAACTTGCTTGCTACTTTTTACTTTTTTTTTTCTGCAAGAGACTTAGAATACTTGCAATTGTTGCTCCTGAGCCATATATACTCTAACCTTTTTATTTTGTAGTAAACCATATATCTAATTTTTTATACTGTTTTATTATATTGAGTGTGATATTGTCTTTACAATTAGACTTTGCCTCACCAATTGGGTTTTTCCAAACATTGTATATTATGCCTTGTTTCAAGATTTCTTGTCTAATTCTCATTTTGGTAATATTCTCTAAGGCTCTGATACTGTTTAGTCTTTTGAATAGTGCTGTAGCCTGCTTGGCTAATACTGCATTTACAAGCAATTTGGTTTCTAGTATACCTTTATAAACCAAAATGCTATTTGGTACTGTTTGTACTATCCCTAGTTTTTTATTTATTAATCATAGAAATAGTTAGTAGATTGTATTCAATTTGCTCTCTATTAATGCTACTATTTGTAGAATATACTCTAGTTTGAGAATCAGAACTTGGTTGTTTATATATACTAATTGACTAGCTGTAGATTTTTTCCTTTCTAGTTTGCAAGTAAACAGACCAACAATCTGCTTAATTTTCTTTTTAATCACTACCACCTTTCTTAGTATATAGAAAAGTTCCAAGTAACTATAGTTTGTATAGCTTCTTGTTTGCCTTAACTAGTACATTTCTATATTCTACTTGTCTATTTGCTAATAAAAGTTCTAAGTTCAGAACTATTAGCTTTGACTTATTGCTATTAATTTCTATACCATTTAGCAGAAAAAACTGTTCTGCTATTTGAATTGTTTGTTTTAACTGATTCTTCAAACTTGCAATTCATGTAGTGTTATCAGCATAAGCAAGAACTGTCTGTCTAATACTTTTTGGTTTTTTGATATCTAGCAAACTTTCTATTTAAGCTGGTACTTTTATTCTGTAACCCAAACTTTTATTTTTTGTATTCTATCTAACAAAGGATTATAAAAAATTCACCAAAAGAGAAGAGATATGGCTTCTCCTTGATTGATATCTCTTTTTGCTATAATTTCTTGTGTTAGTCTATATGCAGTTATAATTTTTAACTTTTTGTTTTCAAATATGTTGTGGATTAGTTTGCAGCATATATCTGGTATCTTAATTCTTTTGAGAGCTTTTTGTAACATGGTATGATTTGCAGAGTTAAAAGTCTTCTTCATATCTTGAAACAAAACCTATATCTCTTGTTGGTTTTCTTCAGCCTTCTCAATCAAAGTCTTTAAAATATGAACTGGCTCTTTTATAAAGTTTCTAGATAATTCAGCAAAGTTAGAGCCTTGGAGGATCTTCTGTTCTTTAATAATTTTGATTAACCTTTTTGTTAAAATTTTTGTAACCCCTTTTCTGAAAACTTCTACTAGAGCAATTGGTCTAACTTTATTCAAATTATACTCCCAATCTTGCCCTTTTGAAATTAGATACATCTGAGTTGTTTTTCATTTACTTGAAATGCTGCCAACTCACAAATACACTTTTGCAAAATTTTTAAAAACTTGTATTTTTGTATTTGCCTGCTTTAGAAGTGCATATATAATTGTAACAATTCTGGTATTGAGTTTACTTTGCTTTCGCTTAGTATTGACTGCCACTTCACCAATATAATGGACTGCATTAATGGATCGTACCATGTTTCTTGAATATGATTTTTTGGCTAATATTCTTCAAACTATAAATTTTCTACCTTGGCACTATTTTTTCTCCTATCTATAAACTAGTTTTGGAAGTGTGATCTAACTTTTTCAAGGACTTCTGCCAAGTTAGTTAACAAATGCATATGTACTTATTTAAAAACTACTTTGCAATAGAGCCGCTCTAACAGGCTAGCTAACATTTTTTTTTGCTCCTTTATGATTTGCTTAGCTCTTCTTTGAATATATTGTTAAATTTCTTTTTCTTGACCTTTTTATTATTTTTTACTAGCTTGCCTTTGATTACTTTCTACCAAGTAATCACTTCTTCTTTTTGCCATTTTGATAGTTTTGATATTTCAATTTCTCTAATACTACTATTTGCTCATATGTTAATTTGTCTAATTTTTTTGTTCCAACACAAGAACTTTTCATAAAGCTTATCATTACTAGTTGATCTTAATTTTCTGATTAATTTTTCTAATATAGATGCTACTCTAAAGAACTTGCTTTTTTGATCTTATGTCTAGACTTTTTTTCAAAATCTACCACTTTATTTGGCAAGTTTTTCCACCTTGTCTGAAAAATTGCTTTTTCTATTAATAACCATATCTGGTTCAGATTTGCCTCTAATTGTTTTAAAGATTCTGAATCTGTTGCTAGTGTGTCTTGTCCAGCATGAATAATAATCTATTGTTTAGACTTTTCCACAAATTTTTACAATAATCATCACAGTTTTCTTCTATCACCTTCTCAGGTTTCCAAACTTTCTATTTGAAGCTAGAGACTACTCCACCTAGTTGACTACACAATGAGGTATTTAGACTTTATTTACATTTTACAAATGTGAAGTCATGATCGCTTTCTGTAACTTTTGTTATGCTACAAATTTCTTCAACTCTATTGCATTACTTAATAGCCAAATTTGATCTATTCTTGTTGCTACTATATTATTGCACCAAGTGAACTTCTTTTTGTATAAGTTAAAGACTCTAAAAGTATTCTGAAAACCTTGTTCTTTGAGCCATGTATGCAATGCTAATCTTCTATTGCTATCTATTTGTCCAAAGTTGGGTTAACTACATAATTAAAGTCTCTTATTACTACTATTAATGCATTGTCTTGTAACTCAGTTATTCTACTTTGAACTATGGCTTCTAACTTTTTTGCTATTTTCAAATCACTTGGCGAAATATATAATATCAATATTAATATCTTGTATCTTTTAAAATACAAGTGTACAACTAGCAGAAATTCATTTGGCCTTTCAATTCTGTCTATATGTTTCTCTAGTTCTTCCCTTATCAATAAACCAACACCAAATCTCTTCTTTTTTATTTTTGAAGCTAATGACCAAATCTCTCTAAAGCTAATATTGTTCTTAATTATATATCTAGTTTCTGTTTCCTGCAAATTTGTCTCTGTTATCTCTACTATATTAAAACCATTTTTGTTACTCCAATTAAGCAACATGTCTACTCTATGTTTATATATATTAAGTCCATTTATATTGTGTATTGCTATGTTGACCTGCTTAACTAGTCTTGTATCATCAAAAGGTACCATCTGTGTCTGAATCTGGTTCTTATTTAGGGTATCCATATTTGTTAAGATGCCTGTGGTGCTATTTAGAAGTGAATGGAGGCCTTGCCTCTTATTCACTACTCTTTCAAGAACTCTAATCTTTTTATAATCTCATATAGCAGATCAGTCTGGATAGACTCTTTTTCCTTCTTTTTGTCTTTGCCTGATTCAAAACTTTGCTAAAGTTTTGAAGTTTTCTTTTGCTAGATTGACTATTTGTAGGTTGAATATCTTTACCAATAAATTTATATTTGGGCTCTACTGCTGCTTCTTTTTCAACTCTTTTTATATTATTGTCTTGAGAGTTCAAATTTTTTTTGTATAACACTAGACTTTTTGTAATAGCTTTAGGTCTCAAAATTCTACTTTGTCACTGCTATGTCGATGAGCTTTTTTATTTTTCTCAATACTTGGCTCAGCCCAATCTAGCTTTGTATTATCTCTTAAATGATAAGCAATTGTAGACAAATTTGCTTGCAATTTTTTATTTAACAAAATTCTATATAAAATTTTATAAGATTTAAATTTTATTCATTCAAATTTTTATTGTGACTAACTGATCAACGATGCAGATAGTCCAAACCTTTATTTTCGCACTTTTACATAAATAACCTAATATATATTTTTGCAAATTGGCAATTTTAAATAAAACCCCAATTTTTTAAAATGTTAACATTTATTTGTAATTTTCTCATTGCGCCTGACTATAACTATAAGAAACCTTAATAAAAAATGTAAAATTCGAACTAAAATATAATTTTTATAGTTTAATTTTACGATTTAGAAATAGGTATTTGATTTTATATAGAAATCAAAAAGTAAAATTTTTTAGGATTTCGTGTTCTTTTTTTTAATGTTTTTTAATTTTTTTAATTTTTAATTTTTTAATTTTTTTTTATTTTTTATTATTCTTTTTTTATGTTTTTTTTTTTTTTATTTTCTTTTATTTTCGTTTTATTTTTATTTATTTATTTATTTGTTTGGTTTATTTATTTTTTTTTTAAATCATGAATCATTGGCGGGCATAGTTATTGAATCTAATATAAATTAGAAATATGACCTGTGTGAGTTTGTATAATTTGCAGATACTGGCTAATTTTTATATCTATTTGGAATCTACAGTTATGAGGTCATATTTTTGATTGATCTAATTGCAATAAGAATTTTTTTTGTGCGATATTAATTTTTTTCTTCTTTACGTGTATGGTAATCTTTAAAGCAATCGCTTCTATGCTTGCTGCAATATAAGGATATATTATATTTTATACAGTAAATCTGAGATTGCAGCAGATTTTTAAAAGCTTTTTCATTATTTTTTTTGGCCATATATCTGCACTATACACAGCTACTTCTTTCTTTTTTCCATTTAGATAAATGCCCTTCTGGAGATAATCTTATTAAGGAAAGTTCAGAGTTATTTGTTATATACTATATTCTTGATAAATTAGCATCAATATTTTTAGCTAACTCTTCAACTCGACTTCGTGTATTTGCTTTGTTTGTATTATTTATTTCCATATTAGATCCTATAATAACTGAATTCAGAAGTTTTTGTAACTAATATTTTTACCACTTTTTTTAAAAATTAAATAGAAATTGATGATCGAAGTGTCCAACAGCCAATAAAACAAAGGCATCCAGGTTCTTCTAACTGGCAATTGAATACCATAATACCTATAAAGCTGGTCGGCTATATCTACCCCACCTATATAATGGTTATAGTAATCAATTATACAAGAAATTGGTAAGGCTTTTTTACTAGCAGTTTCAAAAATTGCCTGTACTTTTGCCACATTAGTACTAGTTTCTCGAGGTCGACGTCGAATCCTTTCAATCCTGTTTTCATTTCTAATTATTTTATGAACTGTACTTAGCATGGTGACTAGCCTATTGTCTATCCATTAAACAGCTAAAATATCACCAACGATTACTCCAGATAATGTATCCCAATCTAGTTTTTTATTTACTTTAAGGATTTTTGGAAATTTTGCACTATTCGTTTGAACTGTTCCACATGCACCAAAATTATTATCACATAAATATTGATAAAGATTAATAGATAAAGAAAAGTTATCCATATATATATTAAAGGTTTTATTTAAAGGTAATTGGGAAGCAAGATGATAAATCTCATTTCTGACTTTGTTTAAGTTTGGAATTTGTTTTACTTCTGGACAACTTTGAATTCGTGAAGTAAAAATAAATGCATACGTGTAACCTGCATCGCAAAGAGAAAGAATTTTATAGCCTTCGGGAGTAGGCTTATTTTTAATTCTAACTGTATGCATACTTCGACCTGAAAATCATGCAATTATTTCGTCAATTGAAATATTAGACGATGGAATACAAATTGATTTAGAAATTTTTTGAATATGGCTTGCTAACAGATCTAATTTAGAATGCTAATGTAAAGAGGAAACGGCACAGTCTGAAATATGCATAAAACATTTAATCTAAATCAAAGAAAAAAAAAATAAAAAAATAAAAAAATAAAAATAAATACTTTATTGTAATAAATCTAAAATAATAAAAATATTTATTAAAGAACATACTTGTTCAAAATGAAGCATTGTCATAAAAGTTGTTATCTTATGCTCTGGAAATCTATCATCTGTATTCCAATAATCTCTAATGCTAGGTAGTTTAAAAATACCAGCATATATTGATATTGCCAGCCAAATTTTAAATTCTCCTACAGTTAATTCTTTCCATTTATGCCCTTCTTCAGTACTCTTTAAACAAGCATATTTATTGGTATTCTGAACTATTGTATTTATTTGTTCAAATGGGAAAAAAATACTAAAAATTGAATAAGGTGATGATAAAGAATGTTCATATTTTGTTGGTAAGTGTAACGTAAACCTATACATCGGTCTTGAATGTTAAAATGCATTAAAATAAGGAGAAAAAGGAAGCTGAACTTCAGTTTCATAATTTTGATTATGACCATGACCACGGCCACGACCACGACCACGGCCACGACCTCTGGTGTTTTCATTTTGAATTTTTTGAGCATCTTGAATATCATAATTGTCATTATCATCTGATTTGTTTTCCTTATTATTTTCATAAATACTACGTGATAATTTTGCCACATATACATTATCATCATCCTGTTCATTAAGACTTGAAGTTTCCATTATAAAAATATCATATGGTGCAAGAAATCTAAAAACCCCAATCTTTATATATAAAACAATAATCAACTAGCACATTGGGTAAGCTAAATTCCATAGCGGTATATTTCAAGTATACAGCAAGTATAAGATAATTGTTATTGTTCTGTTGGCATATTATTTAACCCTTATCATGCTGATAATATAAGAATTTTATTTGTCAGATGCTACTATATTATGCATTATCTTAATCCCAAAAGATTAAGGTTTCAAAGTTTTGTACCGGTACGTGAGAAAAAATTTAAGAATTCTTTAGATGGTTAGTATCGCACTTTTATGAATATATATAGAACATAATTAATTTATCAAATATGTTAATAGAACGTTAATTGATATATGCATAAAAAAAAAAAATGATTAGCTAATTTTTGTAAAGAGATACAGAACGATTTTCGTCCAAATTTAAAAATTGCAGGTGAATTTGCCTGCAAAACTGTTTAAAATACTGTTTGGCTTGTTGCCTTGTTCTAATTTTTTTTGTAGCAAAGTATACTAAAGCTATACTTCTTTGGTTACTATTGCTATTTGTTGATATGTATACTGCCTTTGCTTTTATGTTTTTTAACTGTCTTAGAAATAAAGTTTCAATTGCAGTCTTGAGAAGATTTTTTATAATTGACTTAAATTTATTTCTTTTTATAAGTATCTTTTTATCTAAAAAACTGAAAGTAACTCTTAGCATTTTACTATTTTTAAAATATACTGCTCAGGAATTTTGTAGCTCATCTTTTTGTTTCAAGTTTTTAAAAGCTAGTTCTACTTGTGCTATCTTTGTTTTATAATTTGACATGAAGCATTTAACTATTGCTCTTCTAAAAAAACTTAGATATCTTCTGATTTGGTTTGCTCTGGTTTCATTAAATATATCCCAAAGAGTTATACATATTGTGCTTTTGTATAGCTTTTCTTTTGTTTGAGAAATAGCAACTATAAATTGATATGAGTTGCTTGTTGTTTTTTCTTCTATTACTCTCATCTATAGAAGCTTCTTGTTGTATTCTCTTTGGTGTAGCCTCTCAGGACCATCTTCTGCATTATCTATAACTTGCTTTGAACTAAGGCCAGACTTCTTTTTAGCTTGAGTTTCTGTTTTAAACTCCTCTGTGGTGTCTTGGGTTCTTGTACTAGTATTAATCTCTAACTCTATATTTGAATTGATTAAATCTATTAATTCCTTAATGCTGAAGTCTACAGTTCTACATTTTGTAAGGAGTAGCATTTTCTTGGTGCCTGGTTTCATACAGGTTGGTTTTTTGTTTTTGTTGACTTGCAAACATAATGATTGTTTATATAGATCGAGTTCTTCCATTGATAGAATCTTTTCTGTTGCTTTTTTGTATCTAAGCCAATTGAACATTTCAATTGTTTTTCTAATAAGGCTTATTAATTTAACTGCCTCTACTTCAAGCCATGTTGCAATTTTTTAATTCTTTATCAGGATATCTTGCTTGAGTTCTTGGAATAGAATCTTATTTTCCTGCTTGTTTTTTCTAAACAGGTCTTTGAAATTGGTAAAACTTTCCATTTTTGCATGTGATAATTGGTGTTGTATCAATATATATAAAGATTGTTGTTTGTACAATGCTAGTTGTTGATTAGTTACATTGTTTACTTGTTTGGTAGCTTGACGTATTACATGTCTGTTTGTTGTTATAGTGATTTATGCTACAGGATCAAAGCTAATTTTCCCAAATATACTGTTTTTCTAAAATTTTTAGCAAAATTTGTTTTCTCTGTTCTTGTAGCTTTATCTAAAGAGTTGGGCCAGATATGTTTCTAATAAACTCCAGATAGAATTTTGTGTTGCTTCTTTTTGCTTAAACCTCGAAGCCTTGTTAGCTAGTAGCCTTATTGTTGTTTTGTACGTTTTTTTTAGCTCAGAAATTGGTACAAGAATATACAGGAGATTTTTACAACTAGTAATTTTTTTAATTGATAATTTATTTGTCATCTGGAGAAGATCTGCAAAATTTTATAAATAAAGTTTACTATTAACAAAAATGTAACAAGTCTAAATCTAAAACTTTTTTTTTTTACTAAGACAATCAAATCTTGTTAATTAATTGAAAGTTGTAGAGCTTATCAAGACACATCTAATAGTGGTAAAAGCATCAAAATTGGCCTAGTGGTTCTTGAGATATCTTTAAAAAATGTTTTATACACATATAAAATTTTTTAAAAAAAGTTTTCTTTTTTTAAAGGAATTTTATATATATGTCTTGATAAGCTCTACAACTTTTAATTAATTGACAAGGTTGATTGTCTTAGTAAAAAAAAAAAGTTTTAGATTTAGACTCACTATATTTCTGTCAATAGTAAACTTTCATCAGCAAAAATAAATAGGCGTAAACCTCCACAAGTTTTTACGCGAGCGTAAACTTACGAAAATTTACGATTAGTTCGGAGTATTACGTAGGTGTAATAATTACGAAA